TTTAAAAATTAGTCGATATTTAAATTTAGAAACTAATTATATTAAAATATATAATCGGTTTTAAAATCTAAATATTAACATTAAATAAAGTGAACATCTGAATTTTGAATTAAAATTTTAGTTTTTAAATATAAATTAAGACATCAATTTATTTTGTAGTTAAGATTGATACGTATTAATATTTTAAAATAATTATGAAATGCTAATGTTTTTTCTTCCAATAACTAGTCTAAAGCATGCAAACTAAATTAGAATATTACCTCAAAGGAAAAATAAAACGTTTGCTAGAACATCATTGACTTTACCCTTAATTTTGCTTTTTAATTAAGAACCGGCGTGCAAGAAGGAAGTTGAAGAATGATCTTGAAAATGCTTTGAAAAAGCTCATGATAGCGTTGAATGTCTGTTTACCTCAACATGAACACTCGAATATCTCTGTTTCTATATGTCAAAGGCCATGCTGCTTGTTCATTTCCATTCCCTGCTAGAGTATAGTTGGGTTGTGAACTGTCATGAGATATTGTCTATTTTAACTATTAAACAATTACATATTTACTGTTAAAATGAATACCCTTTAGTGTTTTATCATAACTATCAATCCCAACCTAGCAATTAATTTAATAGGGTTTTTTTTTTTACATATGATTTTAAAGTACAAGTTAAGGGTTCTTTTTTATTATAAATTTGTATAGAAAAATATAAAAATTAATCCAAGTTAAAATTAATTTTAATATCATTATCATGTAAATAAATTTAATTAAATAATTAATAAATTAAATATTATTTTTTATTGTTTCAATACCCTGTACAAGTTAAAAAACTCTTAAATAATAAAACGTTTTAAAGTCAAAACTAACTAAATTTTAATCTCAATCGTGGATAATGAAAATGATGCTGTACAGACATTAAATTAACCTGTCTAGATTGATTTTTCACGCTCTGTTTGAGTAGTTATTGTACTTCAAGTTCTACATTTTTATATGGTAGAGTTGATTTGAAGACAATTTAATTCTCATAGAAGTTTTTGTCAATAATGAAGTGCCAACTTTCTTACACAGCTTGATATTGGATTGTAATCTGGCTTACCAAAAGCATTGAATTTGCTCAGTTTGTTAAGATGAATATGATTAGTTTTTGTTGGGGGCAATAACTGAAAGATCGGACAAAATGGTTGGATTCTATTAATGAGGCATGTTAAAAGTTCTGAAACCAAGTAATAAAGCTTACAGTATCATGGGAATTAATGAGATTTGGGGAGGTTGAAGACATTAAAAATTGAGATTGCCTTGTTGTTGAGACAGGTCAATGAGTTGCCTGATTACAACTTTTCAATGTACCACAAAGTAC